TAAGTTTTTTTTCTACATCTTTTACAACATTAAATATGAGCATGTTAGGGCTTGCTTGTAAAATAATTAATATATTATCTCACTAAAACATTTATACTAATAAAAATTTAATTTTAGCATATAAATTTATCCTTGATATAAGAGAAAGTAACAGTTTTACTTATTGTTGTTCACCATATAATATTTAATTATTATTTTATTATATAATAAAAAAATATTATTAAATAGTGTAGTAGAATTGTTATAGAATTATATGATTTTTTTTTACAATATGGATTTAATATTTTTTTATGATTTGATAATATAAACAAATCTATACTTAACTTTGACAAATAAAACAAATAAATACTTTAGTAAGTATTTAATGTATATACTAAATAGGAATATATTTGGTATAATCAAATACCAAATATAATCAAATAAGTCAAATTGTACAATTTTATTTGGTATTTGATTTTTTTATTATTAAAATCTTTTTATTATACTTACCTTTTTAAAATAAAATAAATAAATAAAATATTATAATACCAAAATAGTAATGGCATTTAATGCAGTTGACTTATCTGGATAGTAAATGTAGTAAATAGAATCTCCTTTTATATAAGTATAGATTGTATAATACGGAAATAGTAATGCAATAAATGTTGTTGACTTTTCTTTATACTAAATCTGGTAAATGGTATACCTTTTAATATAAGTATAGATTCAAAAATAAATAGGTTTTGAATATCTATAAGTATATTGGATATTTATGATCTATTTTAATAGCATTAGTTCTGTTTTAATATTATTTTTTATTGTAGACGTGTGTTGATATCCGAGTTGGACGCGTGTGAAAATAACGGTTCAGAGGTAAGGAACCGGAGGATGCCGACCCAATCGCCGGGGTCGGTCACTGAGTTGCTTCAAAAGTACTGATCTGGTCAAGGGTCAAAGTTAACAAGAGCGACGAGCAACGTCACTCCCGAGGTCGGCACCTCGACCTCTTCATTGGAAGGCTGTTGTAGTTTTATTTTACCGGAGCAGAATCAAAATATTCGAACACCGGGTCGTGTCCTCAAGGAAGGTTAGCTGGACTATTTTGTACGTTTACTCGATCACAAAAACGAAAATAATCCTACACACTCTAATTCAAGTTGTTGGTTTTGATTTTTACTAATGATTTTTAACTAGAACAATTTAATATCACAACTTATAAAAATGATTCAAAGAGATAAAAAATGATGAAGGTAATTCCAATGGATCTAAATGACTAGGGTATCGGGGACAATTGTCTTCGGTTTTACATAAATTTGACGGCAATTAATTACTCAGTTAAAAGGCTCAATTAACTAACTCATTTAGCGGTTTTACCTTACTAACTCTCGTAATATAAGGAAAAACATCAATGAGTAAATTAACGAGACAATTAACACATAGACAATACGTTTCCGAACATGTCTACTCTAAACGAGCCAAGTTCTACCAATTTTGCCCCTCTTTGTTTTAAAATCAATTATTTAGATTAAAATGGTGATCAAGCATTCAATCATGAAATAAGTAAAACTCGTAAAGATTGAGTAATTGACATATACATAAGTAAGAACAAACCAAAACGATTATCCTCTAACTCTAGTTAGAAGATTAGTTGCTCATAGTAAGTTTAACATAATCATTCAAATTAACCATTCTTAACATCATGAAATGAAGAGAATAACTTACTTGATAATGTGAAATCCGAGCGCAAATGCAAACTTAATAATCCTTACAACAATGATATCTCCCAAATGGTTCTTTAAAATAACAAAAACAAACTAGAAATGAAAGGAAAAATGATGAACAAATGTAGTAGAATATAGATGGTGATTAATGATCCTCAAGAAGATGAAGAAAGGGCCTTCTTATAGTCTTCCAGACCCTCTTTCATGTGCATGGTCGTGCTCCCCAAAATGCTCCACTATCAAACATCTCCTCAAGACATGCAGAAATTAAGGGAAAGAAAAGAGCATTGTCTAAACAGGTGCTAGCGCCGCTAGGGGCGCTAGGGTGGTGCTAGCGGCGCTAGCCTTACCTAGCGGCGCTAGGTCATTTATGTCCGGAGCCTCAGAAGTTCGCTAGGGGTGTTAGCGCTGCTAGGAGGCTAACCTTAGCGGCGCTAAGGGTAGCTAGCGGCGCTAGAACCTGGTCCAACTCTGTTTTTGTGATTTTCGATGCTCTCGCTCTGCTTGCTCTCGGTTAATGTTTCCCGGGTACTACCCGAGCTGGAAATTCGACTCACGAGTGCCTTAGACGGAATAAATGGTGCGGAACTCCTCAGAACCGGAATGAAATCGTCAAAAGCCTGTAATCAACACAATCGAAAAAACACGAAAAACAAGAGAAATAGAAAAAAAAATAACAAAAATAACAAACACACCAAAATAACAATGAAAATACAAGAAACGACTAAAGAGACTGGAAAATACCTAAGAAACGACCGCTACGAGGGAGAAGATCGACAAAATACTAGCAAAAATAACAACAAAAATGGGACAAACAAAGGCCGACCCGGATAAATGCCGATCAGATGAGCGGAGCCCCAGAGAGCGCAGGAAGTCGTGAGGTGAGTGTCGACCTAGAAGCCACGTCGGGTCGGCCCCCATAAGAGTGCAGAATCCGAAAAATAATATTAAAATGCCACTTGCCAACCAATGATTGCCGATGGGACGTCTCGAGCTAGCCTGCAGACCTCGGGTGCCTAGCCCGACCTAGAAGCATGTCCGCATTTAATGCAGCCCATGTCCGCATTAAATGCCCTGCAGGTAATGATTGGAAAATCCAGGAATTACTCCCAATCAGCCAAAGGGGCGCCGAACTGTCCTTCAAAGCCCCTATTTGAAATGACAACATGAACAGTGGAGGAACAGTATCTCATTCAATGCTACTATAAATAGAAGATCCCTTCATTTATTTAGGGTTGTTGAAATCTCAACTAACAAAGCTCTCTTTCTCTACTTTCTCTCTCTAAACTTGTAATTAATCTTTGTAAGAACTGTAAGGATATCACAAGTGCCGACCTCGTACGAGAGGCCGACCCAGTGATCTATTAATAAAAGTATAATTAACTCGTATCTCCTCGTTATTTTCTCATTCTGTATTTTCGTTACTCGTTTCTTTGACCATTGATCGGAACTGTCCATCAACAACGTATAATTTTTTCTCAATCTTTCTTTTAAAATTATAACAAATTTACTAACTTAAATTACAAATATATTTCACAATCATGTCTCGATGAGTTTCGATTTGGCATCCATATCATCCTTTTAAAATAAATAAATTTTATTTATCTTTATAATTAAAATTAAATTAGCTATTAATAATAATTTAAAAAAGTAAAATTATTTAAACTAACTTAACTACAAAGTAGTTATCGGATATAAATTAAAAGAAAATTATAATATACGATGGTAAGTCGTGTAAGTGACGGTGTCATTTTAAATATAAATAATAATATATTTTCTCAAAAAGTATTTAAAAACTAAAACAAAATTTAGTGTTATTATTATTTAGTTTTTAATTTAATTTTCTTAACAAGTACCTGCGTAGTACACAAATATTGTACTAGTTGAATAATGAATAGGAATAGAGTGGGATTTTTGCAGACTGGTTCATGTTACTTGGGTTGCTAACTCAATTCAGGACCTGTTTTAAGTCATTATAGTCCATTGCATAATGGAAGCAAAGTTGTACACGAGTACTGTACTAGTACGAATCGGAATGGTTATCTCTATGTGCTCGTCGTCCGACCGTACGAAGCATCATCCACTCGAGTCTCCACATCGCCTGATTCGTGGATTGAATTTCTTCGCTCATGGTCCGCATGCTCTTCTCCATATTGTCCATCCTCTCTCGATTCGTCATGGTGATACACGATTAGTAACTCCTAATGAAAGCACCAATGTTAAGAATCGTGTATCGAACTCTTGAAGTTGTGTAAAAACCCGCTCTAACGGCCTTGGTTTAGACACGATTTGTGCTCGGAAACGAGCATTTTTTTTTAAATATATTAACTTATTAACAAATCTTCCGATACAAGTCTCCTAAAATACATGCACACCAACACACCATATACAAGACATATTTTAAACATTCAAATAGGTAACATGTCAGTTGTTATTTTTTAGTTCGTGCACGTCTGGTTGTACGCATTCTTCATATGACGACCCTCATGCCTATCAATATCTCAATGCACTACATCATTAAAAGTGTGGAGTGACACTAACATCCAAAACCAATCCCCTTTGGAAGTCCACTTGTTCAGCGCATTCATCGAAAGTTTTTCTACCCCTTCACATAATTAACAGTCCCTTACTTTATATAAAGCATCATTAACAACTTTTATACCTTTCTGCATCATAAGATTCAAGGTATGTTTATGAGCAATTACTACAACAAATTTGACCTTCACAAAAAAATTCAATTTTCAAGTTGTTTTCATATTTTTGCTTACACAGAGGGACTATTTGGAGTCTCTTGACGAAAAGAGAAGGCTTCTCATATCTAGCTACAAAAAAAAAATT